TAGGCAGTCTTTCCAGAAGCAAGGTCTTGATGGAGACAGAAAGCAGCAGGGCTGTGCCCAGTGCCAGAGTGGAAGGTTGAGTGGAATCTTGAAAGGAGAGTAAGGCCCGGGTAGGGGGCTATGTGAGCCTGGGTCCCAGCAGCCCAGGGTGAGGGCCACCACATCTGTGTCAGGAGGAGGCCTGATTCCGTGTGGGCCGGGTGCATGGAATGGCAGCCTCCTCGTGGTGCAAAGATACCTTCTGGGACAGATCAGTGAGCAAATATGGAGGGGGAGGAAGGGAGAGAGAGAAGCCTTTCCTCCCTTACCATCATAGAAAAGGGATCTATTTTGACTTGCTGTGTTTGTGCCTGTCAGGTTCTGACAGATGCCCCCCAGGTTCGTGTTTGTGCCTGTGCTGACCCCTCCTGTCAGACTGGAGCCCCAGAGGTTTCTTAGTCATCTTTTAAATCCACACTGTACTCCATACAGACAGCGGATGCCTTGAACAGGTGCTCCATAAATGTGGATGGAATGAATGGAAACACAAAGATGTACTTTATTTTCTGTTGGGAAGAGACATTGGGAGAACAGATGAAATTTGATCCAGATTTAACTAAGCACACAAACAACTAACCACTCTGCAGCTCCTTTGAGCAGTGCACGAATTTACGTGGTGGTTTATGTGCTAGTTTAAAGTGGTTCTTTCTCCTCAGCTCTTCTTCCCTCCCTTCCTACCTCTCCTGTTCCCTCCCCTCCCCTCCCTACCCCTCCTCTGTCTATGTCATTAATTTCTTTTAGTCAGGCAATCTTTAAAAATTCTCCTCAAAGAAATCTTATTTTGATGTGATGTTTAGCATCTGATAGAGGTGAAAAGTTAGAATACTTGTTGGCGAATTGTGTCTGCTTGGCCTTTTCTTCAACTGTACACCCTTGACGACACTTGGGCTGCCCTCAGGAACCAGGGCGGCCAGATGTAGTGCAATAAAAATGTAGTACATGCAGGTACATTTGTGTCTGGTGGTCCTACTGGGACCCTGGGGGCTAAGTACAACTTCCTGGGGTGAGAGCTGGATAGTCGTACAGGACTTCGTGCTCAGAGGGACCCTGATTGGTTTAATTCTCTGCTCTCACCATCTTGAAATCCTTAATAACTTTTGAACATTTTTGTCTTGCACTGGTCCCCAAAATTCATAACCAGTGTTGCTAGGACATGGTTTGGGACCCCAGTGCCATAAGTACTGCCACTTGGAGGGATTCCATTGCCTTACGTGGCACAAACCTGAGGCATCCCCATGCCTGGTTTGTCCTTGGTACAGAGTAGGTGACGTCTGGGCGGTTTTCCCTCAGACACCTGTTTTTTGTTCTAATTCGCTCTAAGTGTCTCTGCCTTGGCACTAGATGCTACTTTTTAGACTTTTAATCCAAGTTTCATTGAACCTGGCATAAATCAGTGAGATACTTCATGAGTAGAAATTTTAGTTGCTTCAAAGATGCCTTGAAAAGCCATTTGACCTAAAAACTTTTATTGGTGTTACCTAATGGTGTTGCCTGATACATATGATATTCATTATGAATGCATGTTTATGATGTCATTCTTTTGCACAACTGCTTAGACTCAGAGTTTCCAAGAGTTGGCTGTAGACTAGCTTGATTCCACCTGCAGGAGGATCTTTTTCAAAAGGGAAGAATGTAGCTGTTCTGACTGCTCAGTCTCTAGAGTTCTTTGGAGAAAGGGCTCGTGAACAGGTGCAGCAAGACTCTGTCGCTGGGGATTAATCAAGTGCACAGAGGAAGATAAAGAGTCTTCATATGCAGAACTGGAGAACAGTTCAGCCACGAAAACAATCACTGAGGAAGAAAGAACACCACATGTCATTTTAGGAAAATCTGGTGTAAGTATCCAAAACCCCAGACTTAGCTAAGGGTGTAATTACTTGTATTGCAAAAAAATAATATTTCTACTTCTGAGTTCATTTTTAAATAATGAGATTTCCACTACAATGAGAATATTCAGTGTATAAAAATTTTATTGAATTTCCTGATTTTGAGAGTCACTATTGTTATGTAAAATAGCACTTTTAGGAGAATCTGGGTGATGAAGAAACAAAAAAAAGCCCACTTCTCTGTGCTATTTTAATTTTTTTAAACTTTGTATGGGTCTGTAATTATTTTAAAGTGGAAACTTAAAAATGTATATGTGTATATACATTTGTGTATATAGCACATTAGTATGTAGTATAATTGGTATCAGTATATAGTATGTGTTGTGTGCCTGTGTGCATATACACACACACAGTGTATCTCACATACACATTATAGCGTGTTCAGGATCACATCTACAAGGTGAAACAAGCTCATCTTCATCGCACGCTCAGTCGAGAAGGTGACTAATCTATCTTTGCCTTCGCCTGGTCGTTTATCAAATAATGTGTTGGATCTAGAAACTGCAATGCCCAAACCCCATAGTAGCTGATGGCTTCAATCATTTAATCTTTCACCAAGGGGGCATCAGCAGCAGAAAATAAACTCATTTTTAAAGTCATGTTTTCTTGTCTCCTGACCTAGAAAAGGAGGAAAGATGTCAAAAGCAAGTAGCAAACAGGAAAGAAAAAAGGAGCAAAAAAATCTGCTTTTGGGATATCAGCCAGGAGTCCAATTATCTATTTTTTTTGTTACATTTAGCACCTGGGCTGGATGATTATGTTGTTCTGATTTTAGTTCTTGTGAGAGTGAGTTCATTTGTCCAATTTTGGTCGCTTAAACAGGAAAGGGGGAAGTAGTGACAGAAGTGGAAGGAAGTGATTAAGGAGTTGAACAGATTGGACGAGATAATTGAACAGGAAGGGGATTTGCTTACCATTTTCATTCAAGAAGGATTCCCCCTGTACAGCATCTGATGGCACAAAGGGACAGACAGACTTTGACCTCCCAGTACGTACCTTCAGGGCAGTGGAACGAGGAACTGATAGCCAAGCTGCTGTGCTTCGTGTCGTCAGGTAGCAATCACTGGGCTAAAGAAAGGCGAAGGAAAATAAAGGTCTCGAGGAAAAGAGAAAGCAAATTTTAATTCTTGGGATGATATTGCTCTTGTAACAAGAGGGAGCTAGAGTTATAGCTGTCATAAACTTAATAAATTAGAACAAAGAATGTAAATGTTCATCCTAGTGATGTGTCAGTGAAAGGAAAGTGGATTGCTGTATCATTTAAATTTAAATTCTAGTTAAAGTTAGTCAGTTTCTCCCCATGTTTCCTGTACTGGAAATGCTTGGATTTTCACACTTGTTCTGTATAACAGCAGCCACAAAAATGTTCATGTCCTTTGACCCCTAATGCAGTGATTCTTAAACTTATGGGATCTAATGCCCTCTTTCTTATAAAAATATTTTGTGACACCCCCTTCATTATCCTGAAATGATATAACTTATCTAGAGGTGTAATTTCAAGGATTCTAGACAGTACTTCAAAGAAACAGAAGGAATTTATAATAAACATAACAACATCATAAGACCTAACAATGCCACACCTGTACGTGGATCAGTGTGGCAGCCTCTGATACAGACCGAAGCCCAGAGTTATGAACCAGTCACAGTGGGAACGTCATACCAGCCTGCATGTCACTGGCCTAAAATGAGTCCTGTGACCACCTCTGACTTCAAGGGCACAGGGAGTGTCGTCCTGTCATAGCCCTGGGGTGGGGAGAACCTGAGAGCTTTGGTGTAACTGAGGGAGGCTCTGCGCTGACAGTCCGCTGCTTATGCTTGACCATGTGGCATTCGACAGGACACTGGATGTGACACTGTCCCATGAGTTGCACACCCGGCTCTGCCCACCACTGCCAGTAAAGCTTCCCTGGGCACATGGGCCTCAAGGAGTTCCTGGCATCCCTCTTAGAGGCAGGGTGCCTTTATATAAACCTCTCTTTTGACTGATTCATGGATTTATTCTTAGGTAATAACCAAAACAGGACAGGGCCCTCTGTCTGAATGTATTGACATCAATGTATTAGTGGCACAATAAAACTGGAAACAACCTAAATACCTAACTGAATAGAAAAGTTTAATTACCTATGATTTTTCCAAACAAAAGATATTATACAGCCATTAAACAGAGAGAATCTGAAACAGCAATGTGAACCAAAAATACTATGCTGATCAAAAACATTATATACATTTTATAGCATATCTATACAAAACATGAAATAAAAGAAACCAAGAAGGAAATATTTGAAAGTTGGTTTTGTAGGAGAATGAATCAGCTGTTTGTTGCTGTGTAGCAAACAGCCCCCAAATTTAGTAGCTTAATACAGCATGCGGTTGTTAGCTTGTGGTTCTGTGGTCAGTAGTTTGGGCTGGGTCACCACTGCCATCCTCACTGGTTTTGCCTGGGCCCCTCACACCACAGCAGTCAGCTGGAGGCACGCAGGCAGGTTGGCCCAAGGTGGCCTCTCTCACATGTCTAGAAGCTGTTGCCATCAGCTGGGCCTAGCTCTGCCACAAGCCAGCTATGGGCACCTTTGACAAACCTGGAAAAGCATGCAGTATTTTCGGCCCAAATCATAACTTCAAAGTGAATGAGGGAGGAGATTGACGGAGATGGTTTTACATATACATTTTAATGCTTTTCTCCCAAGGCCTAATCAGCCATAGACTAGCAGAGGCAAAAAGAGAAAACAGACCAAACATCTGTCTGGTCCAGAGATAGATGTTCAGTTTTATCTGAAGTGTCAGCTGGAACAAGTGGTACTGGTACCAGCATCAGAGGCTGGTGTCTCAAGGAGGAGAGGATGCTGCACGTCATCAGCTCATTGGCCACTTTGGGAGGGACTGAGAGTGGATGGAGATCACCACTCATTTGCTTGGGTGAGAGGGGGCCCTCATCCTTCCAGGGCCCCTCGTGTTTGGTTCCTTTCAAGGAGTTTCCTAGAAGCAACTAGAACTCATCTTGATGCAGCATGTGAAGACACTGGCATTTTTTACATATTTGAAAAATGACTGACAAATGATAAACTCTGTGCATAGGTTACGATGCTGGAACTGCTGGCTCAATACACCGAGCAGTATGAAGAAGGGCCACTTGTTAGCCTGCTCCGAAGCTGGGCTGGGTCTCTGGGCAACAAGCTCAGAACAGGTATTACTGCTCGGGCTGTCACCATCCCTTGCCCTCAGTGGTTTTTTCTTGATCCTGAGAGCACAGAGCCTTGTCATGGCACAGCTCACTCATTTGAAAGGTATAATATTTGATATATGTACAAAAGTACATGAATATATGAGATTAACACTCACACACCCACTCCCCAACTTAAGCACTGTAACAAGGCTAATTCTGTTCTTTCTGCTTGTGCTCCTTCTTTCTTGCACATTCACTGTTCCAAGCACTTTATAGGTTTGAATGATAAAAACCACATGAGGTAGGCCATTATTTTCGTTTCCTGGGTGGGGAAACTGAGGCTCAGAGGTTGAGTCTGTTGCCCAAGGTGACATGCTAATGAGTGGTGGAGCTAGGATTTGAACCCACGTAGTCTGGCTTCAGGATCCATGCTTTTGGTTGCCCTTATTTATATTTTAGTATTGACTTTAAACTTGATAAATAAGGCATAATGTATATGGGTATTCTGTGGCTTCCTGTTGTCACTCAATATTTGTTTCTAAGATTCACCCGCACCAGTATGTGTAACGGGAGAGCTGTTCCCTTGCTCATTTCGTTTCACCATGTGTATGCACCGCAGTTTACTTAGTGTTCTCATCTCAGTACCAGTGGGCAGTTGGGCTGTGTGTTTGATGCTTTACATAAAACTCTTATGAAAAATCTTGTTCATGTTTTCAGGGGAAATGTATGCAGGTGTCTACAGGGCTTTCATATTTAGTTGCTGTGACAGAGAGAAAGAAATACATTTTACATCACACCGACACCCACATATCCATCGAGCACCCCCACAACAGACACAACGGAAGCAAACATTTCATGAAATGATATTTATCTTATTGTTCACAATGCTATCTGATATTTTAAATTTTAAAAAATTTTGATCTCAATCCTTTAAACTGATTTCATAACTCATTAAAGATTTGCAATCTGTTGTTTGGAAAACACCCCTCAACAGTATATATTACCAAGAAGTTGAAATGCTGTGGGCTATGCCAGTGTTCAGCTTCACTAGGCAGTGCCAAATTGTTTTTTAACGTGACAGTACAATGTACACCTTGTCAGCAGCATCTAACCTGTGAAACCGTGTCCTTACCAACACTTGGCATTATTGGACTTAATTTTTCTGGGTACAACATAGGAAAAAGATCTCTCACTGATTTATTATTGTTAAAGTTGAACATGCTTTCACACGTTAATTGCCATTTGCATCTCTTCTAATTCGAAATGCCTGCTCATGTGTTTGTCAATTTTTCTTTCTTCCTTTTTTTTACTTTTAGGGATTCTTTGATCTTTGTATTTATAGATGCTATAATTATCTTCTCCAAGTTTTTGGCTTCTCTTCTATTTTCTTTATGGTGTCTTGATTAACATAAATTCTTATATTATAATTGAATTTATCTTTTATATTCACGTTTTTCTGCGCCTTGTCTACTTTTAGATCATAAAATATATATATTTTAAAGTTTGAGGGTTTCTACTTTCAATTGGATTCTTGACTCCTTTAGAAATTTTTTTCTGTGGTGTGAGGAAGGGATCTGTTTCATTTTTCCTCCCTTAGGGACTGTCCACTGTTCGAGCACCGCTTCCTGAGTTGGCTGTCCTTCCCCAGTCTCTGCATGGCCTCTCTGGACTTGATTAAATTCCATATGTGGGAGAGTATTTGGGACTATTTTGTTCCTAGTCTGTGTGCATATCTTTAATCCAACAATACACTATTACAATTATACTAGGTTTATAATAGTAATTTATTGTATAACATATGATATATTATTATATCTGAAATATAATTCAGAATTATGTTAGCTATTCTGGGTCTTTAGCACTTTCATATAAGTTTTGGAATCAGTTTGACAAACAAGTTCCTTTAAAAAACCCTTGTAGATAGACACAGAAGGACAAAAATGTATCATCACTTATATCAGGTATCTGAAGTGGTCAGGTTCATAGAGACAGAGAGTAGATGGGGCCCTGGCTGGTGTGGCTCAGTGCGGTGATCACGATCCCACCAACCAAACGGTCGCCAGTTTGATCACACTGGTCAGGGCACACATTTGGGCTGTAGGCCAGGTCCCCTGTTGGGGGAGCTCGAAAGGAAACCAATTGATGTTTCTCTCTCTCTTTCTCACTCCCTTCCCCTCTCCCTAAAAATAAATACATAAAATCTTTAAAAAGAGAGAGAGTAGATGGTGGTTGCCAGGGCCTGGGAGAGGCAGGAATGGGGAGTTAGTGCTTGATGGGGATGGAATTTCAGTTTGAGAGGATGAAACATTTTGGAGATGATGGAGGTGATGCAACAACGTGCTTACTGCCACTGAACTGCACACTTACAATGGTTAAGTTGGTATATTTTACCATAATTTAAAAAAAACTTTGCTGGAGTTTTCTTCAAAAGTGCAGTAAATCTATAGATTTGCATTAAATTGATATAGTTATAAAATGATCTTCCTCAAAGATTTTAATTTCGTGCCTTCCAGAGTTTTATAATATTCTCCATATGTAGCACAACCTTTCCTAGAATTATTACTAGGTAATTTAAAAGGATATGTTTAAATTACTGTTTTTTGTTGTTGCCAGTTTATTATAAACACATTTAAGTTTTGTATGTCAGCTCGAGCATAAATAAATCTTTCCTAAATATGTCTGTATATTCTTTGTTTTTTTTTTCCCATCGATAGTCATACCACCTGCAAATAACGATTTCTTTCTTCTTCCTTTCCAGTTGTCATGTAGAGGGTGCTCTTTTTCTTATTCCTGGTTTTAAAAAGAATTAGTTTAACATTTCACTGTGAAGAATATTTGTTAAACTTTTTTACAGACACGCTTTAGTTCCTAAAGAAGCTTCATTTATTTTTATTTTTAATGTATTTTTATCATTACTAGATGATGAATTTATATTCGTTTTAGTACAAATAATTGTTTGTATCTATTGAAATGATTTTGTAATGTATCTTTTTTAGTCTGTTAATTTGCTAAGTAACCCTTGTAAATCCTTTAATTTTTAACTACCCCTGCATGCTTGAGAAACACTCGATTTTGTTATGCTGTGTTACCATTTTTATATTTTTCTGGGCTTGGCTGGCTTATTTTATTTATTTATTTTCTTTTAGGGATTTTGTTGATTGGTATATTGTTTTCCTTTCTTGTACTTCCCTGATTTGGATTTATATCAAGTTTTTCTCATCTCATGAAGTTATTGAGGGAGTACTTTCTTATCCTGTGGAAGAATTTGATAGTTAATTGAAACCTGTCTGGGCGTGGGGGAGTTAAACTGCTGATTCAGTTTGTTTAATTGTGTTAGGACCATTTAGGCTTTCTTGTGTCAGTTTTAGTAAATGGTCGTTTTATAGAAATTTATCCATTTAGTTTTGAATTTACTGCTATAAGATTCTTCATACTATTCTCTAATTATATTTTTCACTTCTACTGATCCATAGTTATGTCTCATTTGTCATCCCTACCATTATTTCTATGCCTTCTTTCTTCTGTGTTGTGTAGTTTAATCGCATCAGACGTTTGTGTAATTCATTTTTTCTCAAACAAGCAGCTTTTCCCTTTATTAATCTTTCCTGTTGTACTTCTGTTTCCTCCTTCTTTGGTGTATGCTCATAAATGTATTGTCTCTTTTATTTTACTTCTGAGGAGCTTACATGATTTTTCCTTTTGTGTATTTTTTAAATTCTTATTTTTTATTTGGAGATAGATTATTGGGCTCCATAACCCAAATGTATTGGACTACTTTCTGAGTACAATTACGTTCCTGATTAAAAACATGGGAAACAGCCCTCGCTGGTGTGGCTCAGTGAACTGAGCGCTGGCTGGCTTGCAAACCAGGGCGTCTTGGGTTTGATTCCCAATCAGGGCACGTGCCTGGGTTGCCAGGCAGGTCCCCAGCTTGGGGCGCATGAGAGGCAACCACACAGTGATGTTTCTCTTCCTCTCTTTCTCCCTCCCTTTCTCTGAAAATAAATAAATAAAATCTTAAAAACAAACAAACATGGGAAACACGTGAGTGATAGTATGGGACTTTTCATGAACACTGGGATGAAGTAAAATTAGGAAATCTATACTCTGTCATTTTCCCCCCTTTTTTTATTACTGCTCAGATTCCTGTTTATTCAGACTGCAGTCTATCTTATCAGCTTCAGTATCTGAGAACCGTTTCCCTTAAGTGTCTTAGTTTTAACGTCTCAGTTTGTCCTGCACACTCCACGAAGTCAGTGCATCTTTTTTAATGTTTCTAGTCCTGAGTGAACGTTTTGTAGTTCCGATAGCCTTCCCTTCATTAGTCTGAAACTGCCCAACATATGGGAAGTTGAAAGAACAGTACAGTTTCCATCACAATCAGTTCCATCCATTCAGCAACTTTGTTCTCAAACTGGCCATGCATATCTGCCCTCTCATTTCTTTTCCAGGGAGCAGAGCAGGGCTTGTCCCCATCACTCTGAAAGCATAACAGACTCTCACCCACTTGCAACTCTCTACTCCCAGCAAATTTTCCAGGACAGACTTGAGATGCGCCAAAGGCAGTTTTCCAATTGTAAATATTTAGAAAGTTCCAGTCCATTTATTTTTGTTTCGGTTTTTAACCTCCAAGACACTACACATCTCTCCCCCACACATTTAGACTTACTGATTCAGTCTGTCTCGTTTATCTATGTAAGCCCCAAAACCTTACTTGCTCTAATTTTTATGTGTACTAAGAAGAGCGCCTGTCATCCACACTGTGACGTGGGTGCTTCTCCAGGCACTGATGATGCAGCACTGACAGGTTCTCAGCCATGTGGGCCTTAGGCTCTAACAGAGCAGTAGGTTGGCAGTCATAGTGTACGTAGAAAAAAAATGGGTTTGGCTGCCTATTGCCACAAAAGCAAAACTTGTGAGGCAGATGCTGGTGCAAAAGGGAAGAGGCTTTATTCAGGTGCTGCACAACCTGGGAGAATGGCGGACTCCCATCTCAAAAACCACCTTCTCTTTCTGCCATGGAAAAAAAAGTCCAACTGTGTCCTCAGCAAGGCCAAGACAAAAGCCAGTGTCCAGAGTTCCTGCTCTATTCTGAAGTGCAGTCCTGTGGAGCCCGCAGGCAGCTGCTAAGTGGTCTCAGCCCCAATCCAGGTAGCTTAGCTTGTTCCCAGCTGCTGTCCATTTCAGGCCCCCTCCTGGAGCCTGCATGTGGGGCCTACAGGGTCATGGACCATGAGGCTTCCAGAGCCACATGGTCACGTGCTCCAGGCCGAGAGAGTGCACAAAGGCATGGACTAGTGCATCACCAGGTGGGCAAGAGAGAGCCAGAGAGGCTCCTGGAGGCCATGGGCCACGTGACTGCTAAGGCCACATGGCCCAGGGAGAGAATGGGCAAGTGCCCCATGTGAATGCAGGTCACAAGCAAGAGAGAGAGCTTATTTGTTCCCCTGGGATTATATTAGCTTAGAAGTGGTATGGACCAGGCACCTTCTCAAAATACCAATCAATTACCCAAACTTTCATGCTCTTCAGGTAGGTCCACATCTCAACCAATCCCTTCTTCCTCAGGCTAGATTGGCAGGCCTCTTTGGCCCAGCACTGTCCCCTGTGCCATTTTGACTTCTATGGCACATGTGCCTACCTGCCCTAGTCCTACCCCTAATCTGGTCCCAGAGGAGGAGGGGAAGGGCTTTTCTTTTCTGTCCAATCATCTTGCCAGCTTTTTGTGTGCTCAGTGAAGAACCTCCCCTTGCTGCCATCTTGGCCAATCGGGGAGACTCCTTGGTGCTCCAAGTGACTGTTCTATGGTAATAGCTGGACATGAGAAGATGGAAACACGAGGAAAGATGGGCTGGGAACTTCCTGGTATCCTGAAATCCCTTCAGTTAATAGCTACTCTGTGGGTACCCATTGAGTCTCCTCACCTGGACTTCAGGAGGAGTCTGTCATTGCACTAAACAGGCTCTATGAGACTAGGTGGCAGGGCACAGCTCTGATATTGGGTGTTTTGAGTCTGTTTATACTTAAACCTCTTAACTCCTCTGTCTTCAGTTTCCTCATTTGCCAGATGGGGAAGATAGAAATTCCCGTCTGCTAAAGAAAGTCACCCTCTTTGTGGCATACCCTCCCCTGTGCTTGCCCATACCCCTCTCACTGCCCCTCCTGCTCCTCGCCCCTGGAGCCTGGTGTCCCCTGGGACAAAACCTGAGCTTGAGTGCGTTCTGCCTGTGTGGCCTCCTCGATTAGGCTGCCACATCTTGCTGAGCCTCAGTTTCTCAAACTCGATGTTGGATAATTATAGCATCCATATCATAAAATTATTGATATCGTTGAATGATCCACAGCAATAATTAGCACAGTGCCTGATACATAATACAATTAAGGAATAGTATCCATCAACAAATACTTTGTGACATATACAGTTTATTCACACTATTCACTTTTCATCATTATTATGACACCAGCCTAACAAATGATTAAGTTATGATAAACCCACTTAATGGAAGTTATATAGCTGTTAATGAAGAAAAACTGTATAAAATATTGAATGCTACTTATCATACAATTGTAGCAGGAAAAGCAGGAAATCAAATTATCTCTATACCACCAGGACCACCGTGTAGGAGGAAGTAGAGTCCAGCACTCATCAGAAAGACACTGACGGGCACGTGCGGGGACCGCCATGCGCTGACAGCACGTCTTCGCTGGATGGACATTCCTTTTGAAAACACTCGCCCCGTGCATTTTTTCAAATGTGTTTCTTGGTGAAGACAAAATAATAATGATGATCACTGTATTTTTCCCTCAGTTTCCTGGCATTTAACATGGACACAGTTGGTAACTCACCTTTCTGTTGAAAGCAGTGAATTTTCGTGAAAGTGTTCTTCATCGGGGTTTGTTGGCCAGAACACACTATAAGGTAAGGATACATTGTGTTATAGTTTTCCTCTTGACATGTGTTTAAGACGTATTCTTACTGGTGGACTGTCTGCTGAATGTAGTAGGTACGAAGTCAGTGTTATTATAAGCTTCTGGAAACAGCTGGCCTTCCTACAGTCCACTCTGCATGACCGCCTGCTTGCCCTGGAGGCGCTGGTGCTACTGTGTAACCTTTTTGTGCTCATCTTTCAGAATTCTACCTGCCAGCATCATTTGGCTGCTGTGGAAGTTGGTAGATGGAGTAATTTTTAGCCTTAAGTGGAATTGAAAAGTCATTGTCTCTATGTATAATAAGTACATTGTTTTCTGGGGAAAAGTGTGCCAGGCATGTGTAAGAAATTAACCATTTGATCAGCCTGAGAGACACTCTCTTTCCTTTTAAAACATCCATGATGCTCTGCAAAGATATAAAACCTTGCATCAGCATTGGTAGAAATCTAAAGGGAATGTTTACCAAGCACATTGCCAATGGGGCTGGTTTGAGAAAACACCCCCTGCCCCAGGGTACATCTGTTTTGTCTTCTAATCACAACACTGAACAGACAACAAGACTAAAGAGAAGGATTTGCTTATCCCAACCTCTGCCAGGCAGAGGGGTTCAGGGCTCTCAGAACCTGAAACCAGACCACTATTAACCTCTGCATGGTAATTAGCCAAAATCTGGGCCCCACATAATTCTCCTTCAGTTTCATGCCAGTTCTAAGATCGCATCTTCCCATAAACACAGAGTGAGTAGAGGGAGAAGGATGAGTGGCACATAGCAATAGGTATTCTCTTAGGAAGAGCTCTGGAGGCAGAGCATCCCTGGGACCCATAGTGGTCAGGATCCAACCTGGTGGAACAGGGCCAGGCTGATGAGTACCTGTTGGGAACTGGGCCATATGGTGCAAATCAGACCACCCTCCATATACTGGGTTGGTCAAAAAGTCCATATTGTTTTTTCCATAAAATAAAACACATGTTGTTCCTTTTTACCAATAGCTTCATTGCTTTGGATATTTTGAGTATGTTGGCTATCTCCCACGTGGTATAACAGCAGTTGTTCTCAGTTAATGTCCCGATTTGATTGCTCTCAACTTCAACGGTTCTTCCCGACCATGGAGCATCGTACAGCAAGAAATCTCTAGCACAAAACTTCACAAACAACTTTTAGCACATTCAATCAGTCACAGCATCTTCTCCATATACTGCACAAATCTTTTTTCTTTTTTCTTTTCTTTTTTTTTGGCGTTTCAGTTGTATTTTTACCTCTCTTGAAATAATAAAGCATAATATGCACAAAATATTGCTTATTTTTTTCCACCTTCAATACTAAAATGGCTACACAAAATTTGCCAATTTTGATTTTTTTAATGTACACTGATATGACTGCTGTCACAATCTAACAAAATTGTTTTGAATGAAGTTTAAGACAACTAAGTGCTACTAGGGCCATCTTATGGAAAAACAGAATGAACTTTTTTGGACAACCCAATACATTTCTGCAGTGAGGCCCTGCCAAATGCTACCCTGCAGGTGAGTTTAAGTCACTCCAGGTAACCTTCCCTTATCAAACATATAGACAACCAAAATGAGAGAAGGATGCCATCAAAGGCAAAAATGATATAGCTGCACCAGTGAACAGAATTAACAATGGATAAAATGTAATCTGTGAACTCTCTTTTCAAGACTGTGTAAAGTATAAAGATGGAATGGCAAGAGATATCATAATAGATACAGAGTGAAAGTAGTAAAAATCCAACCTGTGGATAACAAATGCTCCTGACAATGCTGGAATGAAAGGAACAGAAATAATAATCACAGACATGATAGAAAAATATTTTCCTGAGTCCCAGCCAAGATGGAGGCATAGGTAGAAACCTTTTGCTTCCTTGCACAACCAAAAGGAGGATAACAATCAATAAACAACCAAAAGCGCCAGAAAATCAAACTGCATGGAACTCTGACAACCAAGGAATTAAAGAAAAAATCAACCAGAACCACCAGACAAGTAAGGCAGGTGACCTCGCAGGCCAAATCAGAAAAACCACAGTGAGGCAGAGGACCTTGGGGGTGGAACTGGCTGCCTAGCTTCACAGGCTGCGTGGATGGTGCTGACTTAAGGGGGAAACTGAGACTCAGAGTTGATATGGTAGTTGCTACGGTGGGAGAAACTCCCAGTCTTACATCAGAGATCATTGGAAAGTGTGCAGGCGAGCTACCCTGTTCCCTCTCTGGCCCCTCCCCCACAGGCAGCACCTGCAGGAGTGAACACCTAAGGCCCCACCCCCTTACCATCCATCAGCCGTGCTGAGACAAAAAAATATGACCCAAATGAAAGAACACAGCAAAATCTCAGGACTAAGCAATGAGGAGATTGCCAACATATCTGACGGAGAATTTAAAGCCCTGGTAATCAAAATGCTCACAGAACTGATTGAGCTTGGTTGAAAAAATGAAAAGACAAATGAAGGATACTCGAAGTAAAGCAAAATATTCAGGGAACCAACAGTAACAAGAAGGAAACCAGGAGTCAAAGCAATGATTTGGAACAAAAGAAAAAAATAAACATCCAACCAAAACAAAATGAAGAAACAAGAATTCAAAAAAGTGAAGACCTGGCTGGCATAGCTCAGTGGGTTGAGCGCAGGCTGCAAACCAAAGTGTCGCAGGTTCGATTCCCAGCCAGGGTACATGCCTGGGTTGCAGGCCATAACCCCCAGCAACTGCACATTGATGTCTCTATCTCTCTCTCTCTCTCTCTCTCTCTCTCTCTCCCCCCCTTCCCTCTCTAAAAATAAATAAATAAAATCTTTTAAAAATTCTCTAAAAAAAAGTGAAGAGACTCTTTTAAACCTCTGGAACAACTTGAAACATTACAATATCCAAATTATAGGGGAGCCAGAAGGAGAAGAGGAAGACCAAGAAACTGAAGGCTTATTTGAACAAATAATGAAGGAAAACTTCCCCAATCTGGCAAAAGAAATAGACTTCTAGGAAGTCTGGGAAGCCCAGAGAGTCCCAAAGAAGTTGGATCCAAGGAGGAACACACCAAGGCACATCATCACTAAGTTACCCAAGATTAACTATAAAGAGAGAATCCTAAAAGAAGTGAGAGGAAAGGAGAGTTACCTACAAAGGAGTGCCCATAAGTCTATCAGCTGATTTCTCAAGAGAAACCTTACAGACAAGAAGGGGCTGGAAAGAAGTATTCCAAGTCATGAAAGGCAAGGACCTCCATCCAAGACTGCTCTATCCAGCAAAGCTTTCATTTAGAATGGAAGGGCAGATAAAGTGCTTCCCAGATAAGGTCAAGTTCAAGGAGTTCATCATCATCAAATCCTTATTATATGAAATGTTAAAGGGATTTATCTAAGAAAAAGAAGATAAAAAATATGAACAGTAAAATGACAACAAATTCACAACTATCAACAAATGAACCTAAAAGAAAAGAAAAACAATGAAAACAAAAAGTAAGCAAATAACCAGAACAGGAACAGAATCAGAGAAATTGACATCACACAGAGGATTTCAGTGGGGAGGGGGAAGGGAGGAATGGGTGGGAAGGTACAGGGGAGAAGAAGCATAATTAGTAGACATGAAATAGATGGGGAAAGATAAAAAATGGTATAGGAAACAGAGGACTCAAAGAACTTATATGTACAACCCATGAACATGAACTAAGGTTGAGGGAGATGCTGGAGGGTGGGGGGTGGCAGGGTGGAGGGGGGATAGAGGGGGAAAATTGGGAAAACTAATAGCACAATCAATAAAAGATACTTTAAAAAATATTTTCCCTAGTGTAGAAAAAAATCAAGATTCTGATGGGGAAAAAAATGCCCGTATCTGGATATAGCCTATACATCTAGAGAAAAAAGATGATTTTGTGAGCAACCAGACAAAAGTAATAGCTTATCTACAAAGGGAAAAAAATAAGCTAGCTCCTGTTTTACCCACCGCTCTGCGTGGAGAAGTACCTGCTGCTCTACAGAGGAAACGTCCTGATCTAAGCACCCCACTCCAAGCCAAGTTTAATCCACAGACACAGGCAGTGGAGAGGTTTTTTTGGATATCTAAGAATCAGAAGCAATTTCACCCATTTGGCCTTCTTTAAAAATTATTCAACCAATGGGGGCAGAGTCTGGTGGGCAAGTATTGTCAGTTTTCTGTCTCTCAGGTGGACAACACTAAGGAATGTTCCACACAGAGTGAGCCCCAGCTTCCACAGGGGGGCTCAACTCAAGGATACATCCTCACATTGACCTTCTCAGTTTTACTCTTTGGTCCCTTTCCTGAGATCACTTCTAAAATAAACTACCTGTGTGTGAGCTTGTAAAAAATATTATTCAAAGATGTACTCTATAGGACACTTAAAACTCAAAATTAATAACTCAAAAATAAGAGAGTGAAGATCTAAAAGGATAGATAGTCCTGTGAAACCAATCAGTACATACATGTTTTTAAATATAGTTACAAAGTTCAAAGGTTAAAAATGTTTGTTTTTTTTGGCGAGGGGGAAACATGATTTAAAAAAAAACCTCGACTAATTGGTTATATAATATAGTGTGTTTATAGTATATTGTAAGGTAAAACAAAAGCTAAAGTAAAGTAAAAAACATGCTCGGCTTCTTACTTCAATCGCAGGGCAGGCAGAAGTCGTTTGGCTCTGGCTTTGACCATTAGAGAAACGTAGTTTAAAATTGTTTCATTAAATTGGAAGTTAACATGGGCACTAAACACAGGGTGCTTATTATGTAAATCTCTACAGAAGACACAGGTAAGATAAATAAGTGACCAGAAGTCTGTATAATCAGATACAGAGGAATGCAGAATGAGTTAGCACGTCCTTGAGGCCTCAGGGACCCTCCAGTGCTGCTCCCGGTGAGCTGCACAGAGGCTGAAGGGCAGTCGTCGAGTTTCCACTGCCTGTTGCTCCTTGGTTTGAGAATTCCTCCAGGTTTGCTTTCTGAAGAAATCTGGTTCCTGGTCGCTGTGATATTT